ACACGTACGCTGGGTCGTACGCATGTCCGTCACCACGTTCATTGCACTCGTACCCCCTACGTTCACTTTTTGCCTAGAGGCTTAAAAAAAACTTTTACGAGACTGTTAAAAAAAAAAGCTAAGTCAAAAGTGTTAAAAACTGATGGGCTCGGAGCACTTTTGGAAGTTGACATGTTGAAAAAGTGCACGCCGTTGTGGCGCGAAGCGCATTTCGAAGTCAAGAGTGAAAGAACCTGAGGGGTGCGGAGGACTTTTGGACGTTTGGATGTTGTTTTGCGTGGCAGGCACAAGGGATCCTGCACCTTGTTAAATGTGAGCACAGCGTGAAGGTTTTGTAGCATTTTCAACCCCAACCACCACTAGGTTAAGGGATCACTTAGAGCACCGGAAAGTGGATCACTTAGAGCACCGGATCACTTAGAGCACCATGGGATCACTTAGAGCACCAAAAAAGTGGATCACTTAGAGCACCAGGGAATCATACCTTTGGGGTAACACTTGGGGACACGGGGCTGGGACATGGTCAGGCACAGCAACCTCATCATCTTTCTTGCTGTCCTGCAGACACACGCACTGCACTGCTCTTTCATGATCAGTTACTGCTGGGGTGGGGTGGGGTGGGGTAATACCGTTTATGTTCCTGTGCACACACAGGCAAGACGTTCCTGCTATACGTCGTAACATTTTCGTCAAGTGACTTGCAAGACGTTCCTGATACGTTGTAACATCTTCGAGAAGAGCCCTTCTGAACGACCACGGGCTCCACTGGCTCCACGGCTCCACGGGCTCCACGGGCTCCACGGGCTCTCCGGGCTCTGCGGGCCTTACGGGCCTTGCGGGCTCTACGGGTCTTACAGGCCTGGCGGGCTTTACGGATACAGAAGAATGGAAAGATTGGAACGTACTCAACAGTTTCACAACAGAAAGTGAAAATATCATAAAATATCTAGATCTGAGCGAAAGGCAACAAAAATGCTGATTCATGTGGTAAGCAACAGATACACCCAACGTTAAAAAAAAACATTTGTCAATAACCCAAATGGCGAAATATCGGGCTCAATTCCCACTATATAATTTACCATGAATTTTGGATGCACTAGTATTTAACAATACTAAGTATGTAACTCTTTAACTATAATTCAATAAAGATACTCGACATACATATATATATATATACATACATCTATACTTGAAGAATAGCAAGGCATATACATACAGATACTGCTTCTGTGGGAACCTCTCGCAAGTCTCCAGAAAACGGTTTGTGTTGGACACGGCAGCAAACAGACACTATTTTTGAGATGGCGCACTGGTCTCTTGTCTCTCAGGAGCTCTCATCAGCGAACTTGCTCCCTTATGAACATAAAGATCATGTTATTACCCCAATCAACATATTCTTTATAGGGGGTGGCTACTTTTGATCCCTTATGAAGATAAAGATCATGTTATTACCCCAATCAACATATTCTTTTTAGGGGGTGGCTACTTTTGATCCCTCATGCAGATAAAGATCATGTTATTACCCCAGTCAACATATTGTTCATATGGGGCGGCGAATTTTGATAACTCGTATAGAAAAAGTTGATATCATTACCCCAGCCAAAATAGTGCTCCTAGGGGGTGTCCAAATTTGATCCCTCATGAAGATATAGTTGATGTTTTTGACCCAACCAAGATATAGTATTAAATTTTGATCCCTCGTGAAGATAAAGTTGATGCTATTACCCCAACCAACATATTGCTCATAGCCATGAGTATTTGACGGGCTCCACGGGCTCTGCGGGCTCTATATGGTTACAGAAGAATGGAAAGATTCGAACGTACTCAACAGTTTCACAACAGAAAGTGAAACCCTCTAGATCTGAGTGGTACGGATCTGGAACGGGTATGGAACAGGGATTGGAACGAAACGACCCACTCCAGCACCTACGTTGTAACGTCTTCTGTAAGTAAGTTGCAAAACGTTCCTGATACGTTGCAACATCTTCTTCAAGTAACTTGCCAGATGTTCCTGATACGTTGTAACATCTTCTGTGCGTGACTTGCAAGACGTTCCTGTAAACTCTTCTTCAAATAACTTGCCAGATGTTCCTGCTACGATCAAACATCTTCATCAAGTCACTTGCAAGACGTTCCTGCTAAATTGCAACATCTTCTTCAAGTAACATCCAAGACGTTCCTGATACGCTCAAACATCTTCATCAAGTCAACGTTGCAACATGTTTGTTATGTAACTTGCAAGACGTTCCTGCTAAATTGCAACATCTTCTTCAAGTAACGCGCCAGATGTTCCTGATACGTTGTAAACTCTTCTTATGCGTCTATACTTGCAAGACGTTCCTGATGCAATTCGTAGTCACTCAATTCCAGAACCATCATGTTACTTCAAAACATTTTGAGTGATACAAAAAAGAACATCAAATAACAACTTAATAAGAATGATTTGAGTGGATTGAGTGGATTTTGCAATTAAGTGTGAGGTAAGGCTGGTTTGAGTTAAGTTTGACCTCATGTAGTTGTTATTTTGGTGTTGTATATATCACTCAAACTGAACTCAAGACAGCCTTAACCCACACTTAATTGTAAGAATATTGTGGTCTCAAAATAGACTCGGCAAAAAAAAACTCAAGCCATCTTTTTTGATATAATAACATCAAAAAACAACTTCTACATAAGAATGATTTGAGTGGATTTTGAGTTATCGATGATGCTTTGAAGGAACATGATGGTCCTGGAATTGAGTGACATTTGAGACTGGTTGGAACTGAGTTGTTTGCCGTCGAGTCTGTTTTAAGTCCATAATATTTTTGCAATTAAGTGTGAGGTAAGGCTGGTTTGAGTTAAGTTTGATCTCATGTAGTTGTTATTTTGGTGTTGTGTGTATCACTCAAATTGAACTCAAAACAGCCTTAACCCACACTTAATTGTAAGAATATTGTGGTCTCAAAATAGACTCGGCAAAACAAATCTCTCAAACCAGTTTTTTGGTATAATAACATCAAAAAAACACTCAAATCACACCCGATGGACTTTTCAATTTAAAACACGTTTAATATCAACATATTTCAAAAACAGCTAAAAAACTTCAAACTCTACTCGGGAACATATCGAACTCCACTCGACGTTTGAGGGCGGCCGGTTGACCCCCTCCTTCCCCCTCCCTTTGATATTTTGTCAATCGGACCGGAGGTTAGCTGCAAACTTGGGAATTTTGATCAATTTTGTTCAGTTGCCAGGATTGACGAGTTTCAGCAGCAACGTGATCAAGAAGAGCGGTCGAAGCAGGAGCAGTAGGGCCTGGGAGAAGCCAGCCGTCATTGAAACGAGGCTACATTTGGGCGAAGAGCAAAAATCGTTGCCTTGTAGCGCAGTCGTCCTTGGAAGTGCAGTCAGAGCAGTTCGTTCGCGGCTTGCGCCATAGGAGCTGGAGGCAATTATTCGCACGAACCAGCAGAAGATGCAGGATTGAGGGGTCACAGCTACATACACTCGTACAGGCTTTCCATGATGAAATTAAATGACAACGAGCTTCTGAGAAGCAAAGTTGTTGGTGGTTGTTTTGAGGGAATGGGTTTGTCCAAGGGCTTGCATGCCAATGCCGATACAGATTCGATGCAGCTGAAACATTAAAACGCGCTCGCCCTTGTCAGGAGCAGCAGCAGCGAGTGGCCCAAGAGTTGGGGACACAGGCGGGCCATTATTCACGGAAAAATGATGAAAAATGCAAAACATAGCTGCAGACGTTTTGGCGCATATTTTGGCAGGCACTAAAGCCACCGGTGAAAGCCCTAAGTTGTCTCTGGTAGCGCTTTGTTGTCTCATGTCGAAGAGGGGAAATAAACACACGATTGAAAGATTAGATATAATTTCTGACTTGGAAGGCTGTGTGATCTGTAGGGCACAGCGTAGGGGCTCGAACTTTCTATTGCGAGCCATCCTGGATTGCTTGTGTGCTTTGTAGCAATGCCATCTGGCAAATGGCTGGCCATCCATGTCTTCGAGTTTTTCAAATACAGGTACCAAACGGAACATGGGCACCAGAGGATTTGCGTCATTTTCCCGAGTGGTCCACAGTAATGACAATTCAAGGCCGGTCTGCCGTGGACAAAAATTTGTTTTTCTTTCCCAAACACCCTTATAAAACAACGAATATAACGATGTTTTAAATAATTTGCCCAATTGACATAGAATAGGCACTTTGTTTTCTTCATTTTATAAGGTATACCTTATTTTCAGTGTGCCCGTTTCTTTTTGAAAATTGCGGTATTTCCCGCAAGAAGTGAGAAAAACATACCCGGAGAAATTGTTTTTGCAAAGTTTTTTCTTATAAAGTGATCTTAAACAATTTGATAAAATGCCAAAGCCGTTAAAACCCATTAAATTCTTCGTGTACAACCCCCGCCGCCGCCCTGATAAAATGATGCCATTTTTGCCGGAAAAGCACACCCAGAGAACCTAAAGTTTTTTGAAAAAAAGCGTTAATTCAACTGCCATTTTTTATCATGTCGTAAGGGTATGCGTATTATAAGATGCCATGCGCAAGACCGTATATTGTACTGGTCATGATTTCCATTTTATAACCGTTTTCCTTGAGACTTCTCATTTTTTAACGTTTATCTTTAGTCAATTTTTCAAAACTGGTCCGGGTCCAGGGGTAAATGAGAAGGGGGATAGCTTAGGTAAGATTGGACATGATTGAACTATCACGCCTTTGAAGTCGACATGTAATGTAATGTATGTCTGCACGTGTACTTTTGAATTATTTTGGCAGACTCGGACGGTGCCAGGCTGACGCGTTGTTACAAGAACGTGGCCTATTGCAGAAACGACAGGAGCCATGCTGTGATGTGTGTGAGCGGTTAGGGCTTTGCTCACGTTCACCTCTTTCTTTCTGGGCCTTAACAGGCAGTACTGGTCAGAAGGCGGCAAAAGAATCTACAGGGTTACGTGGTCGAAATTGACATGAAGATCATAGACGGGAAGATGTTGGAAAGGGCCTCTTGAGATTAAGGGCGCGAGTTTGATAAATGTTCATCGTCATTTTTCAAACCGAATTGGATGCTTGGTTTGAGTTTACCACATCAGAACTGGTTTTCTCATGCTGAGTACATTTGAGCAGGAACAGCGCAGAAGAGCCTTGCAAAAAGGGATTGAGGATGAAGAAGGATGAAGGAGCGTGCCCTTCCCCCCCGGGTGTTTCCGTTGGTGACCTTCACGCGTGTGCCATCTACAGCAGCAGGTTGGATGTGTCTCTCCGGATTCCCGCATTCTTTGCTTTTTTATACCTGCCAGTTGAGGACGCGATCGACAGGAGAAAATTTGAAACGTGGCCACGCTACTCGTCCACCATCAGTGGCAGCCTGCTAGGCCCAGGGAAGCGGAGGCCCGCAATGAAAGGCAGCAGTATGCTCACATGTTTGCTCATCTTGGCGACCAGCACACTGCGCACGATGACGTTGGGAAAAGAACGCGCGGGTTGTGTTATGAGAGCGTATGGCTGGAGTTCGCCCTTGGCGTACAACGGATTCTGACGTATTTTGAATTTGTCATATCAGTCATGCAGGATTTTGCGTGAGTTCGCCAGTTTTTTGCTAAGGTGTTGGCAGGTAGGTGCCTTGGTGGTTCAGTGCTTGGCATTGGCTGTATCTTTTGTGGCTCCAGCACGCAGCTGGGTTTCATCTGCATCTCTTGGTGTGCCTCCGCCGCCATGCCCTAAGCAGGAAACATGGATCGATTAAAGCATAGAAGTCAATGTGCAACATGATGCAGCATAGATGTACACACGCACACGCACATTCACAGATTAGGTGGCACATACCAAACCGCACGGCTGCCTTTCCAATTCTCTGAGCGCCGGCCTTTCCTCAGCTTGGAGGCTGGGCAAACAGTTGCGCGTCCGTGACTAAGGGCAATGGTTTATTGCGACATAGGCGACTAACAAATTAACAGGAACTCTCATTCAGAAATTCAGTTTGTTTTCCCCATGGTCTTGGCCTTGTTGTGCAACGCGTGCAACCTAGAATGGTGAGATATGAGCCGGCCAAGAACTTCCACAGCTGAACGGGCTTGATGGCAACACTTATTCTTTGCAACTGCCTTCGTCTTGGGGCCCCGATAGTCTAAGGCAATGAAGTTTAGGCCTTGACATGCAACCGTGCACTATGCAGGCCTTATTACGATGTTCCTGATTTTAGCGCGGTTTAAATTCAAATTGAATCTGGCGCAAGGCTCGTAATATGTAATGCTGGCACCAAGCTCGGCGCTCTGTTAGGATGTCATGGGACAAGACATGTTGAAGCGTACCATTTTCAGACCAGCGCCCTGTGGAGCAGCATTGGTTGGTCTTTTATAGCTGTTAAAACCATGGGCATCCATGGGCACTTGTGCTGACTTCTTGTGAGGGCCCATGTCAGGGTTTAGGTTTCAGGTCCCTGGGTGCCTCTCATGCTGCCAGGCGCAGGTGATTGCAGTCGCAATCTTGCAAGACCATGGAGCCAAAGGACACCCAGAGAAGGGTATAACAGACGCCGCTGCAACCTCTTGAAAGATCACAGCGCATTTGTAACTTCATATCTGTAACTATACGTATATTTGAAAATCTCGGTGCGAGCGAGCGGGGAGAATCTTCTGGTGCACAGATTTCTTCGTGGATATACCTGCTATAGATGCAAGTGTATAGATGCAGGTGTAAGGGCCTAAGGGACACCTACAGCCTTGATATGCAGGTGACATGCAGGTGCAATACTCAGTGCGCCAAGTGTAGCGGGCAGACATGCAGCGCACCATGGTGCAGAGAGCGCATGAAGGCGTGCTAAAAGCACAGCCAGTGCACAAAGTGCCCGAAATACCTGCCGCACGCCAATTGCACCCACGGCACGCCAAGTGGACCACATACCACTGTACCTCTCAGCCTGCCCCGCGTACCTGAGGGTTTGCGTCTTCAATCTTTTTTCAAGGTAAGTTTTGGATGTCTTGGTTGTTTTTCCAATTCCTTTCCGCACAGCAGGTTTAAGACACAGAAGCCTTGATACAGAGAAGCCCTTAATGGCACAAAGCTTTTGCATACTGCATACAGGATCCTTTCCACAGCGCAGCTTTTGCACACAGACCCTTTTACGTACACTAGCTCTTACATGCAGAGCAGCCTTTTCATGCAGAGCAGCTTTTACAATCTTTTACACACAGAAGCTTGTGCACAGAGACGCCTTTTTACACAGAAGCTTTACAGAGAAGCCTTTACACGGAGCAGCTTTTAGATTTTAAAGGAAGACTACGGTTCGAATCGGTTCGATCCGGTCTAAAATTTTGAAATTGAACCTTTTTCCGGTTCGATTATCAATATAGAAACCTCATCCGGTTCCCGGTTCCTGCCGGTTCATGCTTGGCGATGATTATGATTTTGAACAAAGTTTATGTAATCAGTTTAATCTTATCTCCGGATGAATAAGGGGGGTCACACTGTTTTTGTTTTGGGCCGAATCATATGTGGATGTAGCATGAGTACTGAGCACACTTTACATACGCTGTCAAGGCTCAAGGGAGGTATAGAGTAATCCTGTAGTCTAGGACCTTGGGATACGACGCGCCAACATGCCAAAACTACCGTCGACATGCCAAAAGGGTTGCTCCCCTCGACATGCCAAGCAAGATTGCCCCCGTCAACATGCCAAAAGGGTTGTTCCCGTCGACATGCCAAACAAGTTTGTCCCCGTCAACATGCCAAAAGAGTGTCCGTCGATGTGCCAAAATGATGGTGCCCGTCAACATGACAAGAGTTTGTGCCCGCCGACATGCCAAAACAACATAAAACAACGCCCTATAGTGCTACAGTATATACTTAAACCTTGAAACTTCCACCACTAGCCTCGCGCGGATTCTACTTGTATTTCTTCACAATGATTATATGTTGCATTCTTGCTCCACATCACCTCTCTGAAATTTTATCGGCATTATTTCTGACAATATATCTGGCATTCTACCGGGCAGTGTCTCGCTTGTGACTCCAAATTCTGCTCGTTTGTGACTCCAAAGTCATTTCGCCTGTGACTCCAAAATCATCATCATCATCATCAACATCATCATGATCTTCCTCTTCATCATCATCATCATCATCATCATTGCTGTTGTCATCATGGTCATGGTTATCGCCATCATGATCCTCAACATTTTGGTCATCAACTTCATCATCATCATCATCATCATCATCATCATCATCATCATTGTCGTCGCCGTCGTCGTCCTCCATCATCATCATCATCATCATCACCATCATCATCATCATCATTGGTACCATCATTGTGATCATCATTTTCTTCTTCTTCTTCATCGTTAACATCATCATCAGAGCCAGAGCCAGAAGAAGATCTGATAGCGTGGCATCATGTCGGTGTGCAAGTACAAGAGAAGATCTCATAGCGTAGCATATGCGTGGAAGCGCATCATAGCGTTGGGATAGGGTCCCTGTGCCTACAGCCAGGGGACGTTATCAGACCAGAGCCGGAAGAAGATCTGATAGCGTGGCACCATGCCGGTGTGCAAGTACAAGAGAAGATCTCATAGCGTAGCATATGTGTGGAAACGGAAGAAAAGATGTCACAGCGTTCGGATATAGTCCCTGTGCCGAAAACCGAAGGACGTTATCACACCCCACCCCACCCCACCCCACCACACCCACCCACCCCAAGATGAAGATGATGATTATGATGATGATGATGATGATGCTGATGCTGATGATGCTGATGATGATGATGACGACGATGATGGCAATGATGACGATGATGATGTTGATGATGATAATGACGCAAGTGAGGCGTCTTCCGAGACACAAGTGAGACAGAGACGCAAGTGAGCGGTTTTCCGAGTTGCAAGTGAGAAGCGCGGAATGCGAAGTAGTACTGGGAAGTGGTTTGTGCAAGCTTTGCTGCACAAAGTAGTACTGGGAGTTGCTTGGTGCAAGCTTTTTAGTATAAAGAAGTATAGGGAAGTAATGTGTGGAAGTCTTGTTGTATAAAGTAGTATTATTGGGAAGTACTTTGTGAAAGCTTTGTAGTACAAAGTAGTAATGCGAGGTGTCCCAGATGTGTCAAGCAAGGGTGTCCCACAAGAGTGTCAAGCGAGTTTGTCAAGCAAGCCAGGAAGAGTGTCAAGCAACACTCTTTTACAAGAGTGTCCTGCATGAGTATTCAGCAAGAGTGTCAAGCAAGAGTGTCCAACAAAAGTGTTTCACAAGAGCGTCTCAGAGTATTGAGAGAGAGTGTCAAGCCAGTGTGTCAAGCAAGAGTGTCCCAAAAGATTGTCCTGAGTGAGTGTTTTACAAGAGTGTCGGGCAAGAGTGTCAGGCAAGAGTGTCTCACAAGAGTGTCCCATAAGAGTGTCCCACAAGAGCGCCCCACAAGAGTATGCCACAAGAGTGTCAAGCAAGAGTGTCCCACAGGATTGTCCTAGAAGAGTGTCAAGCAAGAGTGTTTTGCAAGAGTGGCTTTTATAATGGGACCCAGCACCTCCTGTTCGCTTTTCTTTGTTCTGTATGAACCCTTCTTCTACGTGAGCTTTCAAATTTTGCATGCAGGTTCGTGACTTCTATCAGATTTTATGGAAGATTTCAAATTTTCAAAACTGAAGATCTTCTATTTGAAAACGTGCCGCGATATCTTCTATAATAATAACGTCCCGGATGATTATCCAGAATTGGACTCCTGCCGTCCACATCCATGTTCAGATCCAGCCCTTTTGCTTTTAGCGCAAGGATCATCATGATCTGCCGCCACCAGTACCTGAGTTTTCTGGAGGCCGAGGGGCCGAGCAGCGTGATGTTGACAAGTCGGCAAGGATGACGCTTTCTGCTAGACGTTTTTTGCATTGCCAAAAGCAGCGCTGGCTTCATGGAATTTCAGGCGTTCATTGCAGAAGGGCAGCACGCTTCGGCATGCTTCGGCCAGGCAGAAAAGGAAAGCTGCAACTCGCAGCGGCTTTCAATGCTGCCCACGCAGAGGATTGCGAGTGTTGCGTGCCAAGCAAATCGGCGATGGCGCCCGGCTTTTGGAAGATAGTCGGCTTTGGCGAGAAGGCTTGTTATGGTTGAAACGGATGATGTGACGGACAAAAAGCATCCAGGACCTTTCAAACAATGTTTGAAATGTCTCTGTGTGCTCTTGCTGCCTTTGTTCCGTTTTTGTTCTTTGTGATTCAGTTTTTTTTGTTGTGGGGTTGGGTGTTCCGATCGCTGTCTCACTTGTG